TGATCAATCGCCGTGTTTTCCTTCTGTATTTACATATTACTAGCTCAATATGTAACTTTTATGCAAATTTTGTCTAATTATATGTTTTTTATATAATGTTCAACAATCCATCATTTCAGTGTTTGCCCACCTGAGTAGTTGTTTGAACCGAGGGCAAACACTCTGTCGTCCAATGTGAATTGTCGTCAAAAACTGACAAATTCTACATAGAAGTTTTACGCTACATATTTACAATTCACCTAGAGAACAGACGTATGTTTCGCTGGGAGAGCAGAAAGTGTCAATTTGAACAAATGTCGCTGTAGAGAGATGCTACCCATCTGAGGTTCGGAAAGTAGACTTCTGAGGTTTGGAATGTTGAGTACGGAAACGCTATTCCTTCCAACCATGTAGGATTACAAGTGTTGAACTGTAGATGTACAAGGTTTGGGTCATCGGTGGTGAACCTTGGCTGCGATTTCACCCATTCACTACACCATGACGAGTTTGGAAACCAATATAGCTATTTCAACCAAGTATTTGTTCAATTCCCGACGTTTTAATGATTCGCTGTCTCTCTCCTCAATCACTGAAACGTCGGATATTAAACAAATACTTGGTTGATGTATTTGTTTCCAAACCAACTTCCAACCAACAAACCAACTTCATGACGTGTTGATTCCAGTTTAAAGAAGCCCAGGTCATACATTGACCACCTACCAAGTACGTACATTGGCCACCCCCCCAACCTAACTACCCAGCCGACATGGCCGATAAGCCTACGTTGTCATCATTGTTATCATCATTGCCTCCGGGGCGGAAATGACGTTCCAATTATCTCCCAGATACAGGCGCGTGTCAACAGACGGGGAATTTGCATAAGATATGACTTGCATATCTCCCCGGTGTGACAATACCGCGGGCTGGGTATTTATAGCACCTCTTACATAACGTAATACTAGTATGTATATATAATGATGTAACACGCCGAGAGTGTAACTGTTACGTTTTAAAACGTTGTAACTGTTACATAGAAATTTTGCATTGATTTTATACTTTCCACACAATATGTAATTTATCTACTCAGTAACTACGCAGAGGTTTAAGAATAAAAAACAACCGTGTAAAAGAGAGAAGGAATCTTGCATGTGCGCATGAATATCTACACTCATGAACAAAACTTAAGGAAGTTGTACCATGTATATCGGGACAATAACTCTGAAAGATATTACAGTGACCTTTATTGAAGACACACGAGATAACCAAGTGTAAACAACCTCTGTCTTCTTAATCCAAGTGTGAACAAAATTGCCTTTAAAAAATAGACGATTAGCGACATCAAATAATTTCTACGTAAGTTTTTCCCATGAGTGTATATGAATTTTATTGACCGTTTTTCCATTTTCCTGATATCAAAGACATATTTAAAGATATATTAAAACAACAAGATAAAAAGGAACGCAATGAATAAGCAAACACCCCACTGATGACATCAAAGCTTCTACTTCTCCTATCCAAGGTGTATATGTAAATTAAATTATTGTATATGTATATATGTAATAAATTTAATTATATCTCACTCACTCTCTTATAATTACTTAACCTAATCAAACGGAGAGTTTCTCCCAAAGTTCTGAGAAATATTTCTACTTTGGTTTAATTAATTCCACCGAGATGTGATGGCTCCGCTTCTTCTTTCACTAATAGGGATTTATACCATTGGGGAGATGGCTTGGCTCATCGGTGGTGAACCCTTCCAGCGATTACGTCAATTTAGAATATTTCTCCCTACAACTATTGTATTGTTAATTGAAACTATTATAGACGCGTTCTTTTCAAAATAAAACAATTTCTACTGACTTTACTGTTGTGATAAATTAATGGGAGGGCCTGGCTCATCTGTCATGAACCCTCCCAGCTGTTTCGCCAGTAAGGAGAGTATAAAACTGTTTTATTTTGAAAATAATCATACGCGTCTATAATAGTTTGGCACGCTATTGCATTATGTTAATATGTTCACATATATATCTGTACTTGGAGGATTATTCTTGGTGTTGGCGGGGTTTAACGGAGCTATAGCAATATATGGTTCTGTAATGGTAGAGATTTCACAAATATTTCCGAGCGCCCAGGTCTTCCACTTAAAAGACAACAGTTCAGACAACAACAACAACAATAGTAAACACTACACACTCTGGTTATATAGGATGGATGAATCCACCACGCTGTTTATTTCCTCTTGTTCTCTGTTGGCGACGGGGAAGGAGAGCTCTAAACAGAACTGTGCGAAACTTGTTCAAGTCGCCATTGAACTGCCTCGATAGATCCTAAGTTACAGCCCAGGCAGTTAGGATTCCCTCGGTGACACGGTACCTCTATTGTAGAACAAACCACGTGTCCGTTATACATCCCTGTTATATATGACCGTAGATATGTTGCCGGCAGACAACACGGATGTTCCCCCACCTTCCTGACGGGTGAACAGCGTTGCCGGGGAAATCTTTCGATAACAGACGGCGGTGACAGGGACATGACGGGGAAATAATTCCCATCAAACTGCGACATTCTATTTGCTTCCTTCTATTCACTTTTACAGGGGAAATAAATAATTCAGAGCCAGTAGAGGTAATATTTGTCCTCTATATGATTTATCATACATTACGGGCGAAGTCAAACACAACCCAGGAGATCAGCACAGAAGAGAGGAGATGGATGAACAACGGCCAGTGATGAAGTAACGGAATTTATCGGACAATTGCTCGGCCAGGTCACTGATAGATCCCCGTGTCTCTCCCATCCTCCTAACCCTCCTAATCCAGCTATATGCCCGTAAATCCATGTTTAGCCAGATGGGCGAAGATTACAAAATGGACGTCCATTAAAGGTTTTAAAACAATATGTTTAAATTTCGTCAATTTCGTCCAATCAGCGCTCACTTGGTGAACTACAGTTGACAAAAATATTCTAACTTTCTCGATGTCGAAAGCTCTATAAGACATATATAATCTCTACGATCAGCAAGTTTCAGATGAACCAGGAGCTTCAAATTAATGGGAACAGATCACTTCAAAACTGAGGTCGAAGCATCAGTTTTTTTTTTTTTTTTGCTCATTTGCTCAACTAGAATTACAATTGTATATGCGAGGACATCTTACGTGTGGCTAAGGCAAGCTGAGATATTTTAACGAGGACAAGCCCAAGGAAGACCAACCACCGAGTAGGTTGTGATACAGGACGATTGTGTCACCAGAATGGGACCTTCATTTAAACCGTCAGCCAGTAGCTACATGGAGAATTGGTAGAACACGTCAGTCACTACGGTAAAGAATCACTTGTTCACAAGGATGCCACCAATTACAGAGGTTATTAATTACCGAGTTAATTACAAACAGTTCTGCCTAATTACCTCTCCGGGGGATTAAAAAACACCTCTCACAACTTCTTGATGGGGTAATGCCGTCTAGCGGTGAAATAACACTCTTTATTCGCTCTCTCTACTAGAGATGAATAGCTCTAGGTTTCTATTCCTAAGTATTGATGTTTTACCATAGGACTAATTCAAGAATAAGTTTTACACAGGACTGCCGGAGTATAAACAATTCGGATTTACTAGGTGGATAAAACACCTAACAGCTACCTTATCACAATTTATTTTGTTGAGAGCTTTCTCAGCTTGCTTTTTCTCATTGCAAATATAGGTTGAGAAAGGGTGAAAGACGCGAAATTTTTAAAAAACCTCCTGGGGTAAGAGAAGAGAGAGGGAGTTCTTCATATTTTTATCAATAAATTATTTCCATATATTCCGATAATATATATACATATCGTGAACGATCCATTGTAGTAGCTTAAGCCTAAATCCCTCTAACTGCATGTATAGACACTTAAGTCAACTTGTAGTCTCAAATATACAGCCACGATTAAACAGTGTGAGGGTTTCTATAAACACTGAAAAGTGAAGATAACGCCGCTATTTTTTATTTAAACCAAATATATAAGACGCTTTAGCAAATGTGTGTGTGTGGGTCAAAGTAATTATTTATCAAATTTACTCCAATGTACATCAAGTTGATCAAGAACTTCTCGAAAGCTTCATTTTTATTTTGATTCCTATATTACATATGTCAACTCCGTGGATCTAGTCCAGTAAGTCTGTCGATATGTCCGTCGAGCCAATATGTCAATAAGTAGGGGAATGCTGACGCCATGTGGGACAGTTCTCGGATGGTTTATTCCGCTGCTCATTTAAAACATGGAATCCTACAGACCGTGTGTTTGGTGGAAACTTCAGTTATCACCACGACTGGCCAACAACACACAAGACAAAATGCTCGATATACTAGAGACAAAGCATTTTGTTGTTTCAACCCCCCGAGGGTATGTAAAAGGAAGTTTTCCAGTTTACAATAAATCTGTGGGGATCCTTCAGCCCATGTTTTATATTTAGAGAGATATTTGATCGCTAGTTACTATTGCTCCACTTCCACCATTGTGTCTACTTACCAGACCTGTATTTGCATACCTCAGCATCCCAGTGACAAGGCGGTTTATGGGGTTGTAAGGACGCCGTAAAATTAAGCAGAAATGTCTTTTTAAATGTCGCGGGGAGATAATAAAAAGTCAGACGACGCTGTTATCACTCCCCGGGTGGACCGGAAATGAAGATGGCTGTAAACCGGGCCAGTTATCGCAGCCGACTTCCTCCACCCGGACTTTTTCTGGGAATATCTTGGTGGGTAGATTTACATAGCTGCCGTGTGATAGATACTGGTCGAGTATAGCAGAGAATCTATGCCTTAACTCCATTCCCTCCACAAACCTCTAATGTAAAATGTTTGTTAAATATATTTGGCCTCTCTCCACACCCCTAGTATACAACTTTTAAATAATATGGAAATATGTAAAATCAAGCAAGATTAAAGTAACAATTAAAATATACAAGTATCAGAGTCATCAACAATCAATTCTGTCATCATTTGCTTTTGTGAATGGAATAAATACCCAAATATGACCATTTCTTATAAGCATCGGTGGTTCAGTGGTAGAATGCTCGCCTGCCACGCGGGCGGCGCGGGTTCGATTTCCGGCCGATGCATTTTTTTTTACAATTTTTAAAACTCATTTATATTATTAATTTTGAAACAACTAAATGGATTGCAAAAAATAATTAAATCAAATACCTAAACACTAATATAATACAATTTTTGCCATTACACACTTTTTTTCCTGTAGTTTATGTGTTTCTTCTGTATTGCTATTCTATGGCACTTCTACTATTTATTATTGATGTACTTTCAGTATGAAGGATAATTCACTCGGGGCATTTCTCGGGCGAAGCCTGGGTCATTCTTCTAGTTATATATAAAAGACAATTCGCTGGAAGTGAAGTGTTTGACCACGACAATACCCGGACGTAACTATCAGCCCTTCGACAGGTATAACTACGGTACTGGAACTTGGGAATTAAATAATATATACAAAGAAGTAGGAAATGTAAGATACGGGTATATACAAATTAACATACTACAGTTAAATCACAATACAATGGAGTCAATGTAGTATTGTGGGATTAAAGACAAATCCTATCAAAGACACCAAATAAACACCAACAATGGTGTGAATGATGTTGGGAGGATTATATAGGTAGCAGATTACTATCCTATATGTCGGACAGATCTATTCCAGGTTTTTAGTAAGCTTCAGTATAAGGCGCCGGTGCTTGTTCTTTATTTCATGGTAATGGGTAACAATTTACTATACAAATCAAGCACCTAATTAAACTGGGTTTGTAATATAACCTGCTGAGTTTCTAAATCTGTGGGTTGAAATAAATTGGTGTTTTAACAATCGTATTTCGTACCTTGGGTTCCGTGCTTGGGGAAAGATATCACAGGTGGGAGGGAATCCGCTCACGTAGTCAGCGGCCAAATTGGCCTCCCCTGGGGACAGATCGCGCGACACTTGTCGGAATATTTAAGGAAGGGATTTCCTGCCTTTCTGTGGAAGTATCAACCCTGTACTTTTAAATATTCTCTTTTCTTCTTCTTCTCAGTTCTAGAAAAAGGGACTCATGCCGAAACTTACCAAATACAAAAGTAAAGTGACAATGTTTTAAATCCTGAGGGTCGACTGCTACTTTACCAAAATCCTTTATCCGGTGAATATAGTGTGAAATGCTTGAACATCACAATGGGAATAAAAATGTATATTTTGGTTTTATCTATCAAAAGGTTTGAAGATGTAATTTCAGATCCTGGCCACTCGTGCAATATGCCAAACCCAATATCCCACTGCGGCCGAGCCGTGCTGACAAATTGTAGCGGCATTTTGTTGTCAACTTGAGAGTTGGAATGAAATATTGAGAGACAATCTTATTGGATATGCAAATATGCCTTAAATAGGTATGCAACTTAACGCTATTGCCTCTTGACGTTTCTATTTATGTAAATAGACGTTAACTAAATATTTCCAAAAAAGGTTAAGTAGATATACAAATTGGCGTTGGGCAAATATGCAACTTGACGTTGACTAGATATGTAAATAGGTCTGCAACCATCATAGAAGTGCTACCGAAGACATAGTTTACGTCAATACAACTGGAGAGCAACCGCTGATGAGCCATGCCCTCTCATTTTCAATTTTTATCATTTCAACTTAAGTGTTCTGTAGGAATACTTTGAAATTATATAAAAAGAAACGTCAAAAAATTGTATTTTCAGCGACAGACGGCGCCACGTTGACGACGTATTAGAGTGATGGATGCCGCCATCGTTGAAGGAACCAACTTGGCATTGCAGTGATGTCGCTAACACCCGGGAGCTACAAAAGAACGAAGATTCAAGTATCCGCCGCCCACCTGTGAGGGTTTCCTCCTTGAGATTTCTACAGACGAGACCGACACTTACGTCATTTCCATCCACAAATAAGGAGAACGTGACAAGTCCCTGTCACCAAGTAGTGTCGCAGAGTGTTCCTTCCGTCAAGGACAGCAGCCTTCCCGCCCCCAATCGATGCCAGATCGACCCCGGCTAAGCCAAACTTTTTCCGCCACCACATTAGCAATTAGGATGGTTGGATAATTGAAATGCACGCGAGGGATGCTGAAAGCTCTTCGAGCAGGATCGAATCCCGCCATCGATGATTTTAGACGCGGCTTTAATTTGGATTTCCTTCTTGATAGATATTTACCGACTTTATTGGCGCCTAACATTGGACCGACTTTAATATTTCTTACGCTTTTTGACTTTCTATTTCCTTTTATTTATTTAAGAATATAATTTGTGTTGATTAATAAATATAATTCTAAAATATGGAAAAAAATAAAGGGGCAATTTTCCAAATTAGCTGGTAGAATTTATAAAAAGCCATCTCCCGATTGTGCAAACTGAAAGTTGCTGATAGCTTGCACCATTTATCGGAATAAATATTAAATCGGTTATTATTTTCATTTCAGAATAAAAAGGCTGAATAAAAATTTCCCTTTCTAAATTAATAAAAGCCAACCGAATACGCGTTTCGGGCTGTTGGCCTTCGTCAGCGTGGTACACAAGGATGTACCTCAATAACCAAACATGGTGATTTATACATCTTCTTATAGATCATGAAACAGGTGTTAAATCCCTAAAGTACGCGAAGAAAGCCTGAAATAACTGTGGTTGGTTTTCTTGATTTATCAAGAAAACGTTATTTAGACAGTAGTTTTGGAATTTAAAAAAAAATTAACGATTTGTCAATAATTTTCCGAGTTGCAAAATCAGGGAATGTATTTTTCCAGTTTGATTGGTACATTTAAGATGGGAGAGACACCCTGAAGACTACATGTAATTCTAACACTTAACACACAGGAAGTTGAATAGTAAAAATTAACAATATAATGGTAGTTTTTTTTAACTTGAAATTTTTTTCAGGCA